TGACCAGAAGTTTAATCGCTACATTGTTACTCTGGTCTTATCTTAGAAAGTCTTATTGAATTGTTGAAGTGAGTGTAAAAATAGGAACAACATTCTGTTTAACATGAAAGAGTTCCTGAGAATGGTAAATCTTAACTCAACAAAACGCAAAACGCGCTCCACCACCAGCTTGACAAATCAACTTCCTCCAAAATGAGGCTTGCTGCCTGTGCCCCTTCTGTGTCTTTTAACGGAAATAAATAAATCATAGGCGTGCGCAGCCTATTGTGTAAGGGTGTGCACCCTAAAGCAGAAACACACACATATATATATACATACACACACACATATATACACATACACTGCTGTGTGTGTGAGGGTGCTATGTGTAGGTGCTGTGTGTTTGTGAAGATGCTGTGTGTGTAAGGGTGCTGTTAGTGTGTGCTTTGTGTGTGTGGGTGAGGGTGCTGTGTGTGTGCTGTGTGTGTATGTAAGGGTGTTGTTAGTGTGTGTATGTGTAAGGGTGCTGTTAGTGTGTGCTGTTTGTGTGAGGGTGCTGTGTGTGTAAGGGTGTTGTTAGTGTGAGGGTGCTGTTAGTGTGTGTGTGTGCTGTGTGTGTAAGGGTGCTGTTAGTGTGTGCTGTGTGTGTAAGGGTGTTGTTAGTGTGAGGGTGCTGTTAGTGTGTGCTGTGTGTGTGTATGTGTGAGGGTGTTGTTAGTGTGAGGGTGCTGCTAGTGTGTGCTTCTGTGTGTGATGGTGCTGTGTGTGTAATGGGGTTGTTAGTGTAAGGGTGCTGTTAGTGTGTGCATGTGTGAGGGTGCTGTGTGTGTAAGGGTGCTGTTAGTGTGTGTATGTGTAAGGGTGCTGTATGTGTAAGGGTGTTGTTACTGTAAGGGTGCTGTTAGTGTGTGCTGTGTGTATGTGTGAGGGTGCTGTGTGAGTAAGGGTGCTGTTATTGTGAGGGTGCTGTTAGTGTGTGTGTGTGTGCTGTGTGTGTAAGGGTGCTGTTAGTGTAAGGGTGCTGTTAGTGTGTGTGTGTGCTGTGTGTAATGTGTGGGGGCCGTTTAGTTAATATCCCCCTCCCTTCTTACCTTATGTAGGGAGGGGGGACCGTGCTGCTTCCATCCCTGGTGGTCCAGTGGAGAGTGAACTCATCAATATAGAATTTGACCTTTTTAATTTCTTGTAATCTTTTTTAAACAAAAGTAAAAAAGTTTATTTTTTGCAGGTTTTTTTTTAGCTTTTATGCAACCCTCCTACTATAATTTTAAAATTATTTGATTATATAATTCACTGTATTTATTATTATTTTTATCTTTTTCTCAACTTATTTTAAGTATGTTTCTTTTTATACTTACCGTTTAATGTCTTATATTATTGCATATATAATTTATATTTCTGTGTATGCATGTATTCTATTTTATTAACCCCTTCAGGACGGAGTCAATAGTGCACGTTCTGATCAAAACAAAACGTAAAACAAAAACTGGAATTTGCGCTATATGTCTGTTCAACCGTAATTCATCGCTGTCACATTAAGTGCCCTCACACTTATTATATATCATTTTGTTCAGGAGAAACAGGGCTTTAATTTATCATTAACTATTAATATATGGAACATAATTTATTATGAATTTATTATGAATAAAATTTAAAAAACTGAGAAATTTTAAATTTGTAGTTCCGCCTCACATTTTAGCTGTGAATGTCATAATACTGTTAGGTTTTACTGCAAAAAAAATGCCCATATTTGTAATCAGCGATGTCTCACAAGTACAACAGTACCCCCCATTAACAGGTTTTATGGTGTTTTGGAAAGTTACAGGGTCAAATATAGAACGTTCCATTTTCAAATTGAAATTTGCCAGATTAGTAATGTTACCTTTGAGACGGTGTGGTAGCCCAGTAATGAGAATTACCCCCATAATGGCATAGATAAGTCAAGGTATTGAAAGTGGGGGTATGTTTGGTCTTTTTTAATAGCCACTTAGTCACAAACACCTCTCAAGGATATACGGTGCTCCTCTTTTGTTCTTTAGCAGAGTACTTTGGTGGAGTAGTCCAGCTCGAGGTAAAAGGATAAAATATATAGTGCTCACTGTATAGTTGATAAAATGTAGAAACAGAATAAAATATACTCACGGTATATACAGCAAACGAATGCAGGGTGGACGTCGTTTGTATGTCGACCACGAGGCGGTGGCCATTTTAAACAGGCGAAAGACCAGCGGTTTTCGGCCCAGATTCTATGGAACACCACTGAAGCCACCGACCTCCCTTCTCAAATCGACAAAAGTATAAGAACACCGGCCGTTCGGGAGTTTGAAACGCACAAATGGACTTAACCCAGATAGCCTTCCCATGGAGTCAATCGCATACCGAAAGACCTGTAATAGACTTTGACTCCATGGCGATTGAACTATGCGTATGGGATCTGAGCGCTATTCGCCAATAATATGCACTCACATCCAGGCTATCTGGGGATGTGTTACACGAATGAGAAACATTCGGCAATTGTAAAGTTATGTATTTTTATGTGTTTTTCTGTGCTGAAGTTAAAATGGCGATTTGCCTCTGTCCTGGAGATAATTGAATTACTTCTCAATTATCTCCAGGACAGAGGGGAGGAAACCATGATGCATGCTGGGAATATTATGTGCCTGTGTGTCCTGAAATGCTACATGTCTGTCTGTCTGCCATTATAGTCTCCCATTTGGTCCCCTAGGGGAGTATCCACCAAGTGGGAGACCTGCATAAATACAGGCGGGTAGCCACAGTAAACCCAGTTCATGTTTTACCCTCAATGCGGAGCTTGGTCTCGTTATTGGGGGGATTTACTACACGAATAGCGACTGCTGGATGGAATTGGGAGATATATGGTTTCGGCTGTTAACGGCGATTTGTGAGTTTACTGATTGGGAAGTGAAGTACCTGTACGGGTCCCATTCAGGAGATTGGAGTATTCCCCTGCTTGCGGTTCGTAAGATTGGAGTTGGTACGAATGCAGCTTGCGTTATGGTGAGAGGGGAGGATTAACTAAATGGCGGTTTTACTATTTGATGCTGAGGGTGCCGTTATAAGGGCGGAGCTTATAACAATAATTGACAGGGAGCTAAGATGGAGGCGGCTCTCTCTATACTGATTGCCGCCGGAGCTTATAACAACGATTGACAGGGAGCTAAGATGGAGGCGGCTCTCTCTATACTGACTGCCAGGTGTAAAGGGCGGAGCTTATAACAATGATTGACAGGGAGCTAAGATGGAGGCGTCTGTAAGGAAACCAAGTATATTTAAACCTCATTCGTTAGTTTCCTCCCGAACCGCTATAGCCTTAGTGATTATAGCCCTCCGTTCGGTAGATAGAATAGACGAACCATAATGGATTGCCCTTATCCATTAAATAAACCTAGCTTTACTGTGGCTGCCCGCCTCTACTGATGACCTGAATCGAGCCTTTGTTCCCTATACGGAATCGTTAGGAGAATGAACAATGATAATTTATATTAAAATGAACAATGATAATTTATATTAAAAAAGTAAAAAAACAAGCGCCTCACGGGAGTCTTATGGATTGGCTGATTTTTGTCAATATGGAAGACATGTTTATGTTTTGCAGTGAGGATGATCGCCCTGACATGATACTGAATGCTGTTACGTCCGGTCACTCTGTACATGGGTGACTTGTGCAAGTTCCTTTTATTTACATTGTTTGTCAGAGTTATAAACGTCTTTATCTGAAACGCTGAGAGCAGCAGATTGGGGTAACCTTGGATTACCGCGGTAAACAAGACACAGCCATTAATGATAACGTGCTGAGCCACTTATAACAAGGAACGCACCGACCGTGAGACATTAAAATTCACTGTAGGCATTAATACCACGCTCAGAGCCCAGTCATTATTCTTTATATTCCTTGCAATTCATTATTCCCTGTATGGACCTCCGTGACGCTGATACGGTTAAAGCTATTTATTAAACTAAAACCTTAAAATGACATATAGGCCCCCAGACTTTCCATTTAATTGAATAGATCTGAGTGCAGTGTTCCTGTCCCCTTAACCCTGCGGCTGAAAACATTGCAGTTTCTGAGGATCTGCAATCATTATATTGCAGGATTAAAGCTCTGCAGTTTAGCTGAGTTTAACTCCATGAAATGACATTGAATGTCTTCACACATTGCTTGAGGATGTCCAGCGCCATTTTGTCTTGAAAACCCCATAGGATTGCATTGATTCAGTGCTGTCCCATGGGGAAGCTCTAATACATGTGCCTTGCTTGCTCTGCATGCGCATTAGCTCGCACCCATTACAGACATTGCGGGAAGAGGATTCTGATCCAGCGCCAGTCAGGTAAGTGAATGAAAGGGACAATATAGTGTGAGGATTACAATGCTGTATACCCTGCGGCTTTAAGTTTTAGCCAGTGTTACACATGTGGAATTATTTTTTAAAATGTATTATTCCTTGTCCTAGAAAGCTTTCATCGAAGAGAGAAATGGTTTCTCGGAGTTTAAAGAAGCCAGGATCTGATCATAAAATCACATGAAATCACATGCGTCTTCCGGCCACAAGATTATCTCTAAACTGCCAAATTGCAAGCTGAGCGCTCGCTTAACTCATTCATTCACAGAGCGCTGATAAATCTTTCACTGCGGTCACATGTCGGCTAATTAATAATAATTATCTTTTATTTGCCTTGATGTTAAATTCAGCTTTCAGTCAGTATTTAGAGGGTGCTACTCACCGATTCTAAAATCCAGTCATTGGGAGGAAAAGTAATTTAAGATAAGCACTGTTTTCTCTTTTCAAATGAAAATAAAGTTGACAGAGTATTTCAGAATGTTTCCAGAATGTGGCGGAACGTATCACCTATTCGTATGCTTTCCCCTTTATTTCGTATGTT